TTAAAATCTGTTGGTTTATCTAGCACTTTGAATGGATTTTTTTTAACAATGCATGATCCTGAAACATCATGCTTTGCTCATTTGGAAAATAGGTTCACTGAGTTATGCAGCTCTTCCAAATGTTTTCCCATTTCATTTTACAATATCAAAAAATAACATTTGTCACTATAACCACCATTTACACCAGAAAAATCTAAGGATTGGGAAGCTTTTGATTTCATGATGGTGGATACAAAATTCTAATTTCCAAATTTCCAAAATTCTGAATTTTGCCTGAAAGCTTGAATTTTGTCATTGGCCACAAGTAAAAAGTTGTTTTCCTGGAAGTGATGGGTTCATTTTGTTCATTTTTTGAGAAAATGTCTGGCATTTTTCAAGTCTGAATAACCAGAGTTTGTCAGTCATTCTTCAAGTAAAAATGGTGTTCCATGAGAAAGATTTTAACTGTTCTTATCCAGAAATATCTAGAATACCCTAGCATAATGTTTCTCAGGCCAAGACAGAAAAGTCTTGGACCTGGTCAGGTGAGAGAGCAGAGATATAGTTGCATATGCCTGCCCCCTGGGCAAGGAGTGGCTACAGTCTAGGGTTCACCTGGCTCCTTGACTGCTCTGGGAATTTGCATGCTAAAACAGGACCCTTGTGTGAGTAACCCCACACTCCAGAGATTCTGGTTTTGTCTAGAGTGAAGCAGAATTTAATCTTGGAGTCTTTTTTGAGCAGATCCCAAGTCTAGAACCTTTCCTAGCTCTTCCCCTATCTTTTTCCTAGTTCCAGATCTTTAGCTGGAGAGGCTCTGACATTTAAACTGAAGTAAGAAGGAATAATTATTGTCCAGGGCTCCTGAGTTTAAGGATCAGTTCCCTACCCATTATGATGAAGAAGAATGGTTGGGTGTTTCATTCATTCTATAAACATTTATTGTTCGTGTTCTTGTGTGGGGATACTGTGCCTGGTGTAAAAAATGCAGCTTGAGAACAGCTACTTTAAAAGCCTGAGTTGACTTCAGGACATAAGGGGTAATGATTGACGGGAATTTGAAAAATGGCAGGACATTGCAGTCAAAGAGAATTCTGAACCAAGAGCTTTTCTATAGCAAAGCAAAAATTTGCAGGAACAGTGGTAGTACTGACTGAATATAACATCCCTAGGACTTGGGATTCTCACCACCCTCTGGCAGTAGAGATGAAAATGTCAGAGAAAAAAGTCCCCAGGTTCCACCATGCATGGTATTCAGGGGCAGGCACTAAGATTTAGGATTAAGACAGCTTTGGAGATAGCCCCAAGAATTGCCAGGCCAGAAAGAAGAAAAGTATACCAAGCTCATGACAGTGGATAACTGGTTTCCAATGTAGATTTATTAAGAACAGAACAGCCAGAGGGCCTAGGTGATGATAGATTGAGTGTCTACTGTATGGCTCCTTTGAGCTAATAAGCTTTGTATCTCTAATGTCACTTAGTCTAGACAACCTTATGCAATGTAGGTGGTATCATTCCTGCTTCAGTTAGGACCTAATTAACTTTCTATGCCCTGTGTTTTCTTTTCTTTAACTGGAAAGACAGCCTGTCCTGTAAGTTCACTTCCATTGATGGCTAATCTCATTTATAATGTGGACCAGTTTGGCTCTAGGGAGAGCCACATTATTCCATAAATGAGGCCATCTGATTGTAATCCCCAAGGACTGTGATCTTTCACTCTTGCATGCTTGAGATTGGAACCATTCAGATGAAGGTCCAGGGTAGGGGGATGGCCTTTCTCTGTGAGAAGCAATAATTTCAGAATTTCAAGCAGTGTCTCACTAAGCTGTATTGCCATAGTGACATCTAATAAATTTGAGTTAGCCACTATGTGCCCAGCTGATCCTATGCCCTTTGGTACATTGTAAGAGATCCAGACAAGAATTATACCTGATGCTTGCCTTCTAGGAGCACATTCTAGTAGAAGGGACAAAAAATGCAGGTAAATAAATTAAGTGGAAGGCACAGATGCTGTAACCAAGGCATAATGTGCTATGGAGATATGGAGAGGAGAGGTAAATTATGACAGGAACCCTCTGGGAAAGACTGGATGAAGTTGGATTTAAGCCCTGCCCAACTACTTATTGATAAACTTGGGAAGGAAGGGGATTTAAAACAGAAGATCCCCTTTAGCAAAGACACAAGGTAGAGGTAGGAGAGTATAGAAAGTATTTGGGGAACTTAAAGAATGACTTCATGGGGTAGAGGGCAGAGATTAAGATGTCTAGAAGTCACCTTAAATTCACTGCACTTTAGAGATGCTTGTATTAAAAAGTAGAGTGACATATTTTCTGTATTTTTCAAGCTTAGGCCTGATTTTAAATGTTTCCCATCACTCCCATCATGTTCATAATTAGTACCATATGTTGAGCAACGTATTATGGGCCTGGCACTGGAGTAGGTGCTTTGTCCATTTTAGTATATGTCTGCCAAAGTGAGCATGGTGCTTTGTCCATTTAATATTCACAGCCAACCCTACAAGTTAGGACTTAATCCCGTTTTACAGATGAAGAAACAGAGAGTAGGACTTGCCCAACATCATACAGCTGGTAAGTGCTCGAGGCCCAAGATTAGTGCCAAAAACCAGTGTTATTTCCACTACACCCAGTGCCTCCCACAAGTACTTTGGCACTAAGTATAGTCACACTGATCACGTGTTTAACTGACAAAAATTCTGTATTTGCTTTTAAAAGGAAAAAAATCGCTTATTGAACATTGCGCATATATGTTATACATTTGAATTCTTGGTTGTGCCAGAACTATATATACTATACTTCACAATGCATACAAAGAATTTCAGAATAATTTTACTCATAGATTTTCCTCTTATGTAGTAACTTTAGAACCTAATACCCAAATGAAATGAAACTCTGTTGTAGTAAAATGACATGTCCTGGTGTTTTCCATAAGAATATGGATGGTCACCATCAGTACAGGAAAAGGGACTTGGGTGTTGACCTCACCTGCTCCCTCTGGAGTTACTATGGCACCTTATAGATAGCTAAGAAAATTTTCCTGGGGATACTTCTCAGAAAGGCCTCCTTTGCCTTAACTTCTCAGAATACCATCCTCCTCCATCAGACTCCCACCCTTTCCATAAGATGCTCACCACCAGTGGGTTAGAAGCTATATCCTTATGCAGGTACAGTTAAGCAGTTGCCTTGTCCACTGAAATGTGCCTTTGACAGAAACCTTTTAGGTAGTATCTCACATGAGTTCCACATATAAGATTTCTCTTTCTCTGGTACTCTTTTCGAAGGTCTTTGTACTGCCCCAAATGTTTCATTATGCTTCTGGTACTACTATTTGGTTCTTTTTTTTTTTTTTTTCCTCCTAGAAACCAGAGACCCAGGTCAGTGTAATTGTAACATTACAGGTTTAAGGATACCCTGATGCCAATTTATTGTGAGAAAGTGATTTTATTCGAGAAAGATGATGGCATTTATTTTCTTGGTAGGATGAGGATGATACCCTTATTCCTTTGCTTAGGCCTCTGCAAACACCTGTTACCTAGTGGTGGGTAAGTTTGGAAGGTATATCAGTTAATATAACTATTGCATGTAATAAACCACCCCAAAACTTAGTGGCTTAAAACAACACCATTTATTATTTCTCATGAGTCTCTGGGTTGACTGGGTATTTCTGCCAATTGGGTTGGCTTGACTGATCTCAGCTGGGCTCACTCATGTTATCAGATCTACTGGCCAGTCAGCGAGGAAGACTCAGATTTCTCCACGTGTCTCTCAACATCCCTCCAGCAGCTAGCCCAGTCATGCTCTCGTGGGAGGCAGAGGTGCAAGAGCAAGCAAGCCCAGCCATGCAAAGAAGCAAGTAGAAATGCATACATACTTTTAAGCTTATGCTGGCAGCAAATTTGCTAACATCCCATTGGCCAAAGAAAGTGACATGACGAAGTGTCAGAGAGAGAGGGTTCTACAAAGTTGCAGAATAGCCCTGGAAGCAGTGGCATTGGTATAGTGGTGAGCAAAGCTGCCTTCCAAAGTTGCAGGATATAGGAAAGCCATTAATTGGGGTCATTAAATGCAATCGGGTTCCCAATCATACCCCTCAATGTGACATAAAACCTATAGACTTATATTTCTATGTCATTTGTCCTAGAAGGAAAAAGAAAGTCCAAATAATAATTACTGTATATTGGGTCTATGCTTTGAGCATGCACAGGGCTAGGCACTTTCCCTGTTTATACACTGAGTCTCACAACAACTCTGCAAGGTAGGTAGGAAATCAGAGCTCGGGAAGTTGAATAACTTGCTCAAGGTCACCCAGCTAATGTGTGCTCAGCGGGGAGGCATTAGAATGTGTGTCAGTCTGACCCACAAAGCCCAGATTCTTTTCACCATACCTCACTACCTCTCAGAACGTCAGGGTCTGCCTTACCTTTTCTCCAACTCAGTTTTTTATTGAATTAATGCTTTCTGACTAGCTGTGCAAAACCCCGCCTCCAAAATTCTGCTGTGATCCTAATGGAATTGTGCAGCTTTCAGGAAACCCTGACATTCTCCCAAACTCAGCATTAACTGAGAGCATCCCCCACCCCCAGATGGGAATTGGTCTATGGACTACACAGACAGCCTAAGAATGGAGGGCTCTCCCAGACATACCAGAGAAGGAAGAGGACCTTCCTTTAATCTTCAAGATTTGGAGACATCAGGGCATTGGAGCATGAGCTTTGAAGTCAACCTCACTGGGACTCAACTGCTAATTCAGCCATTCACTGGCTCTAAGACCTTGAGCAACTTACTTAACTTCTTGAAATTGTTTCTTCATCTTTAAAAAAAAAAAAAAAATGGAAATAACACTTAGTCTGCAGAGCTATCACTAGGACTAAAATTATGTAGTGCCTAATAAAGTGCCTAACCCAGTGCCTGGCACATAATAAGTGAAGGTATTAGTTTTGTTGATATTATTTCTAAGCAAAACCTTTCCCCTCCTGGGAAACCCTGTTTCTGTCTATTGGACAGGTTCCCCCCACATCCACCCAGTCTGTGCAGACTTGCTGCCTACTATGTCATCGGGAACGCAAAGGCTGGGAAGAAGGCCCTTCCCAAAATGGACTGGTGTTGCAGGGTGAGAAGCTGCCCCCTGACTTCATGCCAAAGCTCGTCAAGAATCTCCTAGGCGAGATGCCTCTATGGGTCTGCCAGAGTTGCCGAAAGAGCATGGAGGAAGATGAAAGGCAGACAGGTCGAGAACATGCAGTGGCGGTAGGTAACAGCTGAGGAGGGGTCCCTGAATGCAGGAGGGCTGCCTGCCCAGAGAGATCAGGCTGTTGAGCTGTTCCTTCCCTGTTCTCTCAGGTGCTCTCCAGCAGACCCTGTGCCCGAGCACTTAGGGGCTGCGGGTTGGGTTCACAATTGGGGCAAGAACAGAGAGGCTTCAGGGAGCCCCCTTGCCCCTGAGGAGGGTCTCTGCAGTGTGAGGGCCAGCTTGTAGGTACTGGTCGATGGAGATCCTGCCCCTTCCATGTCACCGTGCTGCCTTCAGCTCTGTGGCAGCTTGAAAGCCAACCAGTATGATACAGAGAGCAAAGGCTGGTTTGAGGATCTACCATGTGCCTCAGTTAGAAGGCCTCCAAGATGCCAAGAGCCATCTAACTGGCATCTCCTGAATCACAGCAGTCAGACTTGCCTCATTTCTCATTCATTCCCCTCCAGCCCCTTTCTTTTCCCCAGGGTTATGTCCGTTTCAGGACTTTTGACTTAAAGTCCCTTCCTTTCCTTGGCAGCTATCAGGACTCCCCAAAGGCCCACAGTTGACAGGCAGTCTGTATCCCTACCAGAGTCTCTGTCACCAGTATCCACACACTTCACTTTATCGGGAGCACCTCGGCCTCTCCCAACAAAGGCCTGATCCACGTTGGCCCTTTCACCCGGGGTTGTGAGACTTGGGCTTTGACCATGGCACAGGACCTGGAGGAGGAGGTGCTCCTGGGTAAGCTAAGGCCACAGAGGGTCAGCTCTGATGTATGCTGTTTTACCATGAGCTTTTTTCTTCCCCCTTCTCCAGATCTCCTTGTCACACACATCCTGCAAATCACAGTCTTGTGGGGGTGACTCTCATTCCTCTTCGTCCTCCTCTTCATCGTCCTCGTCCTCCTCCTCCTGCCATGGGAACTCAGGGGACTGGGATCCCAGCTCCTTCCTGTCAGCACATAAGCTCTCGGGCCTCTGGAACTCTCCGCACTCCAGTGGGGCCGTGCCGGGTAGCTCACTCGGGAGTCCTCCTACCATCCCTGGTGAGTCTCCAAGCTCGGGAGAGAGCCAGGCCACATAAATGTAGAGAGCTATTTTCCTGTCCACTTTATTAAACAAATTAGGAGGCCAGTTATTAAAAGAAGTAAAAGGAGCTGTTCTAATGGAAGCAGGGGGTACCTAGCCCTTGACTGTCTCCGTGGCACCCCTTTCCCCACAACCCTGAAGTTGAAAAATAACTGTCGTTGGCTGCGATAGCTTTCCCATCAGATTCAGGAGGGGGCATGGTGAACACTGGCTGAACAGAAAGTGGAGTGTGGGAGTATCCTTAGGGAATTAGGACTACAGTCACCTAATACCTGACCCCTGCAGCAGCACAGAGGTCCTGAGTGCTTTTGTCTTCCCAGACCTCTTTTTCTCCACCTAAAGAACAGATATAAAAGCACTGCACTTCTATCAACAAGAAGTTGGTGCAAGCTGCCAGGATTATTAGCCAACTTCACAGATATATAAGCCTTCTTTAGATCCTGAGATAACCCTTAGAGACCCAAAGAAAAGGTCTTGGGTTATTGAGGTATGATATAAATACTAATTATTGTCTGCTACTAAATTGAGGGCCTGAAACTGGTGTAACACCATATGTTAATCATACTGGAATTAACATAAAAGATAATAATAACTAAATTAAGGGCCTGAGTTCTCTAGAGGGGTGCTGCTCCCAGAATTGTGAGAGATGAGTAGAATTCTACTTATTTTAATGCATAAGTGAAAGTGAATCCTCAAAGCCTTTTCCCACTTCTCTGAAATCTAGAGCCACCTGAGAGTCTGGTACACCCTGGCTGCCTCAGTCCTCATGGCCCAGAGGCAGAGCTTTGGCCTGCTGCTCCACTGGCTTCTGTAGACCCTTCCCTGGGCCTGAGGAATACCTATGAACAAGCAATCCTAGAGAGGCCCCGAGAGACAGAACACATATCCCCTGTTTGTGCCACAGCAGAGGTGCTAGGACCTTCTGTGGGGCGGGCATTCCTGGTGCCTTCTCTCTCAGGTCTGGGCTCCTTGAGCCTGTCTACCCAAGTTGCTGCCTGCAAGGAAAAACTCTCCAGTCCGAGGCACTGTTAGACTTTCCCAAAAGCTCACAGGGTCCGCTGTGCTGAGAGGCTATCCCCAGACAGGTTCCCTCTGGTCATAGTAAGCAGGATGTTGTAGCAGTGAGCCCTTGGGCTTTCCTTCCCAGGGTCTTGGCTCTCACTCTGACCCCTTTCTTCCCCATCCGTCCACAGGTGAGGTTTTCTCTCTCTCGGAGCACCACCGGCACTCAGACCTCACTGCTCCACCTAACAGCCCCACTGGCCACCACCCCCAGCCCGCGTCGCCGATCCCATCTCACCCCGGGTCCTTTGGCTCACCACCCCATCCACACCTGCCACCTGCTACCCCGGCAGCGCCTTTCCCTGCCCAAGCTTCAGAATGCCCTGTTGCCGCTGCTGCCGCCCCACACACCCCAGGGGCATGTCAGACTCCCCACCTGCCCTCCACCAGCATGCCGCTCCTGAAGATGCCTCCACCATTCTCAGGGTGCAGCCACCCCTGTAGTGGGCACTGCGGCGGGCACTGCAGCGGGCCTCTCCTCCCACCTCCCAGCTCTCAGCAGCTCCCTAGCACTCACAGGTAAGTGAGTGGCACAAAGGGTATACTCCCTGCTAACTTCGACTTTGAGTTCTGAGAGACTTTACAGAGCATACCTTTGGGGTAGAAATTGAATGATAGATTCTATGTCTTTTGTATCATCTTTACAATCCTAAAAGAAGTAACTGTTGTCTTTTAAAAACTTGGAAAAGTTCAGGGTGTCTAACGAAGAAAAAATTTCCTCAAAACCTAAAGATAAACCTTTAACACTGGTATATTTTCTTCCTGACGTCTCTGTATATAAATTAGGTCTCTGTTTATATATTTTTGTGTAGTTATTTTTTTTAACATTATAGATCATTTCCCCAGTTAAAATTCTTCAGAAAAGTTTCCAGTGGTCTCAAAATGTCTTCTTGCATAGCAGTAGCATAATTCATAAATTATTTTATCATTCCCCTATTCCTGGACATTTGAGTATTTCTAGTTTTTAACCATTAAAAACAAGGCTGTAATAAACATTCTTGTACCCAAATCTGTGTTTGAGTCAGGAATTATGGCCTTAAGGATTCCCTAAAGTAATTCTAAGTACTGAAGAAGTTTATATTAACATGTATGTGAAAGATAAAATTCTTTGTGGAGGAGAAAGGTACGTATTTTTGTATTAGAAATCAGAGCTGTGTTTATTATGCATTTGAATTTTCTCATTCTAAAATCCCACCACCCCAATGCCACCACTTTTAGCAGTTTTCCCTACGGGTCTTACCCACACAGTGGTGGTGGTGTCTATACAGTTCACAGTTTTTTGTTGTCCTCTTTCACATAGCATTCATTGTGTGGTTCCTATGTGGTCTTCTGGGTCTCAGCTGAAGGGTGGAGAATATTCTCCATAGTGCACTTCCCTGTTCTCTAGTTGCTAATGATTTAAATCATTCCAGTATTTTAACATTGTAAATAATGTCTCTAAAGATGTCTTTGCCTAAAGCTGTTTCCCTCTTTTGGGGTTTTCTCCTTGGAAAAGGTCCCTCAGAATGAAAAAAGTTCTCCGTTTAAAAGATGTCAGAAGGTCTTTTTTGAGAAGGGTTCCAAATACATATTGAAAAGTTGCTTTCCAAAAGTCTCTCCAAATTTATGTAACCACCAATATTAGGGTGCTAACTTCTTCATATTCTCAGGAGCATGGGTTATTTTAATTTTGCTAATGTAGGTGAAGAATGGTCATTTTGGATTAAGCTTCTCTGAGCACCACTGATAATGGTTCCTGCCCCTCCTTTTCTACCCCTTGCACAACAGACTGCCCTGGGAGCCAAGCCTTCTCACTGCTCCTTGCCCTGCCCTTTCTCCTGGCTCCCACCATCCCAGCCTCACCCCATGTCCCCAGCCCTAGGGCATTCCAGCTTCTGATGGCCAGGCCAGGGCTCTTGTTCTTCTGGCTCCAGTTTTGGGACTTTGTGGGCCAGTGTCTTTTTCTTATCCTGGAAAAATAGTCTATGTTACGTGATGCCCCCAGTGCTTCCTGAAGTCCAGAGACAGAGCAGTACAGTGGGAGAGCATGAGCTTTGCACACAGGCAGGCACAGGCTGAGCCCTAGCCTCTCCTTGGGCAAAGCAGTTAAGCACTCTGACCCTTAGTTACCTCCCTTAGTTACCTCCACTGCAAGTTACCTCCACTGCAACATCTATTTTGCAGGACCTGGGAGATGCTTAGAATATGCTAAATATAGTACCTGTCCCAAACAGTACAGTAGCTCTTAGAGTCTGGCCCACAAGGCACATTGACTTTCCCAGATTTAAGACCCCACAGCTAAGACAGCTCCACTCACTGGTGCAGATTTGGTCTAAGGACCTAAAGGGTAAAAGGAAATTGACCCTGTTGACCTCCTTTGGATGCTTCAGGAGAGCCATCAGCTCACAGCCCACAGGGTGATGGCCCTGTTTTTGTGAGAGGCACTGATAACAATATGACTGCTTCGGCCTTTGTGGGATGAGGCACATGAAGGGTAGTTGGGATGGCAATGGTGAGAATGCTTCCCCGGGCTCCTGCTGCAGCCTGCTCCTTCCATGCCCTCCCTCATCTGTGGGCTTATCTTTCTCCCCCATCAGCAGAGACCCTGGGTGTAAAGGGCACAAGTTTACACACAGTGGCCTGGCCTGCCAGCTTCCCCAGCCCTGCGAGGCAGATGAGGGCCTGGGTGAGGAAGAGGACAGCAGCTCAGAGCGCAGCTCCTGCACCTCATCCTCCACTCACCAGAGAGATGGAAAGTTCTGTGACTGCTGCTACTGTGAGTTCTTCGGCCACAATGCGGTGAGTGAGCCTGCCCAGGCCAGAGAGGGCTGAGGGCCAGTTAAGGTGAGCCAAAGGAGCACCCTACTCTCCCCAGAGTTCCCCTTGCTCAGGGGGATTATAACCACACTGGAACCTTCTGAGTTCTCGCAGCCTGTGTCCACTCATTTAACCCTTACAGCACATTTGTGAGGTAGGGATTTTTCAACACTTTGCTCCCTTTGCTCTTTTCCTGGTTTCTCCTTAAGATTGACTTTTTTTCCGTAGGCAAAAGGAAAGGAAATGGTAGAGAGAAAGCTATGTTTCTGATGAGTATGTATATGTGTGTAATCACAGAGAAGTGAACAACACTTGTGCGTGATGAAGGCAGAGTGGAAGCAAAGGCTCTCAGTCCTCCAAGTGTGAGAGACTGCGAGGGATAGGCCGTAAGCACAGGCGGCACCAGGAAGAAGGTTCAGGGCAGAGTATGTGCTGTCTGTACAGAGAGCGAAAACAGTTCAGAAGTCTGAAAGTGCAGAGCAAAGGGCCGCCGGCTAGGGGAGAGCAGTTGAGGACAGAAGAAATGAAAGTAATCACATTGTTAGTTACTTTTGAGCTAGGGGTTATTATTCTCATTTCAAAGATGACAAAATCGAGGCACACAAAGACTAAGTGACCTGCCCAAGGTCATACAGCTTCCGAGTGACAAAGCCCGGGCTCAAACCTGCTTTCCTGGCTCCCAAGTCAGTGGGCTCACAATGCTGTTGCATACCTCCCACTCCCTCCGCCCACCGCTGCCTTAGCTCTGGGCCTGGCCGAGGCTGAAGCCACTTGGCCTTTGTGGCTGTGGTAGAAAGAACAGTTGTCTCGCTTCTCACCACATGTTCGGTGCCAGCGGGTGGGAGTGCTCCGGGCTTCCCCGGCCCAGGGTGTGTAACGTCAGCACCTCCCCCTCCCCCAGCCACCCGCTGCCCCGACGAGTCGGAATTATACAGAGATCCGAGAGAAGCTCCGCTCGAGGCTGACCAGGCGGAAAGAGGAGCTGCCCGTGAAGGGGGGCACCCTGGGCGGGATCCCTGGGGAGCCCGCCGTGGACCACCGAGATGTGGATGAGCTGCTGGAATTCATCAACAGCACGGAGCCCAAAGTCCCCAACAGCGCCAGGGCCGCCAAGCGGGCCCGGCACAAGCTGAAAAAGAAGGTGGGTGTGGGGGGGAGCCTAGCTGTACCACCTCTCCTCCCTAAGGAATCCCTTGCCCCAATCCCCCAAGACTTCAGGGGCACAAACAGTGCTGGCTGCCAGAAGCCTTAGCACAGCTCACTGCTATGGGAAGGTCTGTATGAGTTTGGGAGGCATAAGGGTCAGGGAGCCTGGGGCCAATGATTGGAGAAAAGACGAGTCCTGGCCTCAGAAACTGCTGGATTCCTCAAAGCACAAGAATTGCTTCAGTCAGTCAGTCATGTATTCATTCAGCAAACACTTCTACAAATACTGGGAGCCAAAGCATGACGCAGTTAAGTTGTCTCCCTGGAGAAGCTCGGTCCAGTGGAGAGACTGACACAAAACTGGACGAGCACATTAGCATGTGTCAAGCACTGGGATAAGGGAACCCCCTCCCCCCATCTTGCCTGGGCACGCTGGAAATGGCTTACCAAGAGGCTGACTTGAAAGCTGAGTTGTAGGGAGTGAGTTCAGATTCCTTAGGAGAGTTCTGGCAGCAGGCATAGCACATCCACAGCAGTTTGGTGTAACCAGAGCTCAAATAGAGCAGAGGCAGGACAGCTAGTAAAGGTGAGAAAGGGCCTCATAGGCCCTGCTAAAGAGCTTTGACTTGATCCTGTAGCTGAGGGGAGTTCCTGTAGGACTTTTATCAAAGGATGCGCTAGGTCAGATCTTTATTCCACTGTGACTGTGTGGCAATATGGAAGGTAGCCTGGAGGGTTGACACTCCAGGAAGGAATATCGAGGGCCAGGGGAGAGCTGAATGATGCTGGGGCTAGAGCAAGGGAAGCAGACATGACCAGCTTTGGTAATCTGATTGTAGAACAGAGATGAAGGAGTCAGGATTTCTCCCGGGTGTTTGCTTGGATGACTGACAGGATGGTGTGCCCTCCATTCACTGAACGAGGATGAGATTGGAAGAAGACAGGAAATTCAGTTGGGGCACGTTGACTTGGAGATTCTCAGGAGAATTGCCACCTCCAAGTGGAGATGGAGGTGTGGGACTGGGAGTTTCCAGCTTGGAGGTGTAATTGAAGCCATGGGAAGGACCCAGCCATGGGCTGGGTGAGCTCCTCAGAGGGCTGAGGAGAGAACCCAGTGAGCTATTTCTGGGCAGCCCTGCTCCCAGGCGAGCCCCAGGGCTTGACGGCCCGTCCCCTTCTGCCTCATTACCTCTTCACCTGCCCACCCCCAGCTGTGTCTGCACAGTGCCACACTCGGGAGCCCAGCAGCCGAAGAGTTGGGTTTGACAACCAGCTTGCTCCAGGTCCTGGGTGGTCAAACGGCCCTGGTGCTCTGGAAAGCAGCAGTTCTACATCTTTTTCCAGCCCAAAGGACAAACCAGGACCCTTTCCCTGCAGCCTGAAGTAGTGAGCCAAGAGGTTCCACTGCTGCCTTCAGAAAATGGTCAGCACTTTCTTTCTCCCATCCAGTGCTGCCTGGCCAGAAGTGTCTAGTGGGCAACATCAGTCTCTTTAGCCTTCCCTAGCCGCTTAAGGCAGTGGTTTCCAGTTAGGTCCCAGCGAGCACACCTTGAAGTTCGTAGGCCTGCGTGCTTTCCGTAAATCTGTGCTCATACATCCCTACCCCTTTGCTGGTAACGCCAGTAACAGTCTCTTTTCTCCCCTCCTTTTCCTTCCAACAACTTCCTTCCAAGCTCAGACTTCAGGTAACTCCTGCTACTGTACTGCCACTCTACCTTGCATGTCTCCCTTGGCTGCCATTTATCACCCTCTATTCACTCATTCAGAAACTTGCTGCACAGCTACTGTCTGCCCAGCCCAGTCTAGAGGCCAGAATACAACATAGCACCAGGCAGTTGCAAGGTCATGTGATAGGGAGTCATGGTTATTATCTGTTTATACATCAGCCTCCTCTCCAGTGTCCTTCCTCTCCCTCAGACTTAACCACAGTCTGGCTGTCCATCACAAACACAGCTTCCCCTGGGAGCCGTCCAGTGGAGACTGCTCATTCTCTCCCACCTCAGGAGACCAATAAAGCTAAGTGTCTTTCTGCTCCCTTATATCATTTGCAGACCCATGACTGTCTGTCCCTCATGTACTAACCCCTACTCCTTTGAAACTGACCCTGGCTCTGTCATCTGCAACCTTTCAGCCACTCCTATTCGTCCATTAAAGGCTGTCACCTGCCCCTTCCTCCACTACCCAGGCCATAGAGATCCCCTGACCATCATTGACTCACTGTCTTACCAATACTCTCAATTCCTTGCCCTGTTGCCCTTACATTACACCCACTCAGAAAAATCGCAGCCCTGGGTTTGACCCCTACCTGCCTCTCCCCTTTTGTAATTCAAGGAAAGCTCTAGATCAGATCTGTCTGTGGCACCAAAGCCCCTTGGTCTCCTGCTTGCTTGAACCCTCACATTGCCCAACAGGCATAGCTCCCTGATCTACGCTCTTCATCATTTCTGTCTACCACAGCTTCTTTGTCAGACCTCCAGATTCTTCTCAAACCTCCAGGCTTTCCCCACCCAGCCTTTCTTTTGGTTAGATGACCTCACTTCCTGTTTCAGCAAGGGAAAAAAGCCAGCAGACAGGCACTCTCTCAGCATCTTACCACTCCACCTGCAGACTTGTTGTCATGAGGGAAGAGTTTACCCCTTCTCCTGCCTAAGGCCTTACAGTCCTTTCCTGCCTCCTCAGTCTAACCTCAGCTTCCTGCTCTGGCTTTGGTCTCTCCTCTGGGCTGTCTCCCAGTGTTTCACTATGCCCAGTATTCTCTCTTTTGAAAGCAAATTGTGCCTTGAGGGTACAGCCTCCCTCC